GCCACAACGCCTGGCTATTCTTTGGTTGCAGCCGTCATTGTTGATTTGGCAGGCCCAGGCTGGATTCGAAACCGCCACCTTAGGTGTATATGGCTGTGGCCTTAGCCACTTGAGCCACAGGTGCTGACCCATGTGCCTCATTTCAAGAAGGAATTATTGCATCTACCTTTCAGGGCTCTGACAGCATTAAGAAAATTTCTGAGACACTCCTCACACAAAGGGCCTCCATAAAGTAGGCATGCAATAAATGGCATTGTTATTATTCTTATTGAGGCCAGTGCTACAGGGCAAGATAATATTTTTTAACTTTAACCAGGCTGTCCCATGGTTCTACAATTAGATCTCAATATAGATTTCCTGGGCCCAGAGAGTATCAGATCAGCTCAACCTTAAAGCACCAATCTGTAAGCCAAGTAGCCATAGCCTCCTCCTCCCTCAGGAATCCCTGCCACACTATAGTGAATGAGGGGGCCAAAGCAGCAGGTACTCATTTTTCACATCTTCCAAAGTCACTAAAGTTACAAACTCTCGTGAAGGAATCACACTGGAGCCAGATATAGTGGCTTGCGCCTATAATCCCAACTACTTGGAAGGCTGAGGCAGGAGGTTTGCTTGGCCCAGGAGTTTAATACCAGCCTGGGTAACAGAGTGAGACTCCATCTCTACAAAAAATTTAAAAAGGGCTTGGAGCTTGTGGCTCAAGCAGCTAAGGCGCCAGCCACATACACCTGAGCCAGCGGGTTTGAATCCAGCATGGGCCCGCCAAACAATAATGATGGTTGCAACCAAAGAATAGCCGGGCGTTGTGCTGGGCACCAGTAGTCCCAGCTACTTGGGAGGTGGAGGCAGGAGAATCCCTTAAGCCTAGGGGTTGGAGGTTGCTGTGAGCTGTGATGCCATAACACTCTACCCAGGGCGATAGCTTGAGGCTCTGTCTCAAAAGAAAAAAAAAAAATTAAAAAGTTCCAGCCTAGGAGACAGACCAAGACCCTGTAGAGTGCTATAACGTCACAGATCACAGCAACATCCAACTCTTGGGCTTAGGCAATTCTCTTGCCTCAGCCTCCTGAGTAGCTGGGACTACATGTACCCGCCACAGTGCCCAGCTATTTTTTCGTGTTCAGCAGACTGGGGCTGGGTTCGAATCCACCGGCCTGGGGGTGAGGGTGGCATGGGGGTGGTGGTGGTGCTCAACCAGTAAAATGCAAGTACAGTAGACCCTTTGTAAGTTGACTACCCAAGAAACTGTAACAAACTGGTTAATATACAGAGGTGGTCAACATAAGGAACTATGCCTGCTATACTGATAAGTACATGTGGTGCATGTGTGGTCCATGAAAATTAGGTCAACTTAAGAAGGCGGTCAATGTAGGGAAGTTGTCAACTACGGAGGTTCTACTGTACTCCAAAATCTGAAATCTGAGATACTTCTGGTCCCAAGAATTTTGGATAAGGGATACTTACCCATACTTTCACTATAATTATCTAGACAAAACAGACAAACAAAAAAAAAAAAACAGCCAATACAAGTTAAAGAAAAAGGAAGAAGTGAATTTAAAGAAGAGTAGGAGGAGGAAGACTACACAGACCTGCCATTTATTAAAGTTATCTAACTGCTATTTTAAAAATAATTTGCCTATACCATATGACATACAAAAATACATCAGACATGTTTGATAAGCTAAAATTTCTAAATGAATTTCAATGTGGCAAAGATCATCAAAATTGACAGAACTTTAGCTATGTGAAATAAGTAAAAATGAGAAAAAGGCTCAAATTACTAAAATCAGAAGTGAAAATGGGGATGCTACTACCAATCTATAGGGAAAAAAAAGAATTATAATGGGGGCCAGGCGTGGTGGCTCACATTTGTAATCTCTGGGAGCCCAAGGCAGGTAGACTGCCTGAACTCACAGGTTTGAGACCAGCCTGCACAAGAGCAAGACCCCCGTCTCTAAAAATAGCTAGGTGTTGGGGTGGGGAGCAGTGCCTATAGTCCCAGCTCCTTGGGAGGCTGAGACAAGAGAATTGCTTGAGCCCAAGAGTTTGAGGTTGCTGTGAGCTATGACACAAAAGCACTCTACAGAAGGCAACAAAGTAAGACTCTGTCTCAAAAAAAAAAAAAACAAGGGTTGGCACCCATAGCTCAGTGAGTAGGGTGCCAGCCACATACACTGAAGCTGGCAGGTTTGAGCCCAGCCTGGGCTTCCTAAACAACAATGACAACTGTAACCAAAAAATAGCTGGGCGCCTGTAGTCCCAGCTACTCAGGAGGCTGAGGCAAGAAAATCGGTTAAGCCCAAGAGTTTGAGGTTGCTGTGACCTTTTAGTCACTGCTAAAAAAAAGAAATTAGGCTCGGCGCCTGTGGCTCAAGTGGCTAAGGCGCCAGCCACATACACCTAAGGTGGTGGGTTCGAATCCAGCG